CTCTACTACGGTCTACGATAGTTAAGTTTTTTATTTTTCACCATATTCCAGCTATACCGTGGCCAAAGTTCAATTCCACTTAAACCACCGCCTTTACTCTCACAAACCCTCTCCCACTGGTAGCCCCTCGTTCATCGGCCATGACTCACATAATGGGTTGATTTGTCTGGCCAAATTGGCTGATTCCAGCATCAAAATTCAATTCGACATCACCCCTTGAACCACTGGCCTCCACTCTACAAAACTTCTCTAACTTGGCACTTGATAGCCTTTTATTGGCTAGCGATCAAATAGTTGAAAATAGTAATCAATAGGAGAGGGCGCTGTGACACCCCATAGAAATTGTCTTTTATTAGTTTGTTCTTCCCTTTCCCGGATCTACCATTAAGCTTATTAGATAACTTTTTTTTTTTTTTTTTTTTAAGTTTCCGAGATCTTTGAAAGTTTATTAAACCAAATATATCCAAATCCAGTTTTCTAACTCTTAAATTTTGAAAAGAAATGATATTTTTAATCAATTAACTTTTAATATAATTTCTTGCTTAGTTGTACATTAAGGCTAGTTTGGGATTGTTGTAGCTTTGTTTAATTAGTTTTCCCCCACTTTGAAAATAATCAGTTTTAGAAATAATTTCAATTTGTACTTGGGAAATGCTTATTATATATATATATATATATATATATAATTACTGTGATTTTCAAAATCTATGATTGTGTTTTGGTAATTAATTTTGAAATTGATATTGTATGTATAATGACGAGAAAGACATTTTTTTTTTAAAATATGTTTATAATTCTAAATTTGAGTTTATAGGTATTCAAAATGTATTAAAATAATTATATTAAATAATTATAAAATGAATTAATAATTCAAAATATTGGTTTGGCCACCGTCAGTCAAACCACTGTTAGTCGACGATTAACATCTTCAACAGTAGTGGGTTAAAGCCAAAGCCGATTCCATCAAGACCAAAAACTCGATCTATAGGATCTAGTGATTTCACTAGATTCTAATTATATTTAGGTTGCAAATGGCAACCAAGTCTTTCGCCACCTCTTACAGTCGAAATAATTGTCAAAATCCAATGAAAACTGTTAGAGTATTGCTCTAGAGCCAATCGCATATTGTAGTTGACTCTTTGTATATCATGTTTTTCATATAAAAGGCAAATTTTATATATCATGTAATTCATATTATTTATGTTATGAATATGTCCTTAAATGGTAAAACCATACAACGGAATAAAGCGTTTTAATATTGATTGTGAGGACCCTATGAGCACATATGGTGGCCATTCTAGAATTATTCGTGCCCAATATTATTCTGACCAAGGGCACAATAATACTGTAAGACTATCATCGTGTTGAGCGATTCTACCAGGAGTAGTGACATATCTCATATGTCAAGGTTGTTTTGTGACAACTTGGTGCAACATATGGATGCTATTGTAAGCAAGATTGTGGACTGCCTAACAAAGGATTCCATCAGATGGTAACCCAGTGTCACGGAATATGTCTCTAATGGATGGTAATGCATTGATCCTTATATTTGAAATCACTGGAGTGCCTTATGGGAGTTGTTATCTCACTCCAATTTGGTTAATTGGCAATTACTACAAATCTATGACCACAATGAAATTGAGTTGTCGCTCAAATCCAATTGTAGTTAGGTCGTTTGTTTAATAACCACACACCACATATCAAGAATCAAATCTGAGGATGACATTATTTCTGTGCTCACCTTATGGGATATAAATTATGAAAAGATTTGATTACACAATAACCACACGTTGATAATAACAATTTTCACTATATCTATCTATGGCTTCATGATGCCTTGCTAGAGGTCAATCTTGGTTTGTGTATAGAGAGATGATTAATTGGTAGTCAACACGATTCTAATTACTGCCAACATATAAGGAACCTACGGGTCACACAATAAGAAGTTTGAATTCCAAAGCTTTAACGCTTTAAAGGTTTATGAAGTGGGTTTCATGATCCTAGAATTATGTGTCATAATTTTAGGAATTGAGGATGACATTTTGATCTCTTTAATAAACCAAGTCAAGAAGGCAGTTTAAGGTTTTTAGTGAAAGGCATTTTTGTCGTTTTAGGTATAAAGGGTATTTTGGTAATTTTGCGTTATAATTAAGTGAATGTAAAATTCGCTTAATTTGAGTTGTGCCTATGTCAATTCCTTCTTGAAATGGAATAGCAAAATTACATGTTAAAATAAAAATACTTGTTAAACCTATTCCTTTTTGGAATAAGTTAATCCTATTCCTATGCGAATAGGATTAGATTAAGTGTGCATATAAAAACACTACTCAAGAACTAAAGAGAGATAATTCTTGGTGTGTGTCTGTTTTTCATAAGATAGAAAAACAGTAACCCTTGTCCTCCTTTCACAAATCGTTAACCGCATCTTCATTCAATCCATTACTTGAATTCATTATTGACTTCTTTAGGTGCCTTCGTGTGGATACTGTGAGTTCGATTATATTCTTGAATCGGTTTTCGAACAACTTGTATCAAAGAGAACGAGCCACCAACAAGGGTGTAAACTAAACCTTGTATGGTTTTCTTTTAAAGTAAACACATATAATCAACTCCCTAATTGTGGTTTTCGAGGAATTATTGAAAATTTATGTTTTCTTTCGTGCGTATTAAATAATTCAAAAAACATTGAATCCCTATAAATTGGGAGTTTTTGATCCCAATGGCAACTGTAGTTTCAATGTGCCACCTAAGGGTGGGGAAATCCGATTAACCAGACCGTTCAACACTTTCTTGAACCGGTTCAGTTTGGTTTGGTTTCAAACTTTTTGTCCACCCCTAGTGTCACTGTTGATCGGTGCTAACATCGTTCAACGTGGTTTGATTGATGTTGACTATCACAATACACTTCTATTTCTATATTTTTTAATTTGTAAATAATTAAAATTATTTATTTAATAAATGAAATGTTGATTTAAGTTTATTTTGTATTTGAATAATTACATAGGGTATATTTGACCTTTTACAATTTACATCAGTTTTAAAAATAATTTTGATTTTAAAAAACTACCCCTTCTAACTTTTAGAATCCTTTATAAAATTGATTGTTTTATAATCGGCTTCAAACTTAATCAGCTTTAAAACTTGTTTACCAAACACTTTCGTCGTTTTAGTTTAAAAATTAATAATCGTTTTAGTTTAAAGTTAATTGATTATTTCTTAAGCTGCAGTTATATCAAACCCGCGCTTAATTAAGTTGAGCATTGATCGTCAATAAAATAGATTTGACCTATTGTTGGGAATAAATATTAGGCCCAAAATGATACAGTAAGACAAAAAAATTTATCAAAGCTGGTCGAACAGTCTTAAGCCCAATATAAGACCCAAGACAAGATATTTGTTTGAGCTATAGTATTCACACCCCCACAAGTTTAAAATAGCATCAGTCACCCATTGAATCATTGAAACGACATGACTAGAGTAAACGATTTTTCCCATCCAAAATTTGCCTTAATAGCACTTTCCCACCCAAAGTTTATATTCCATTAATACCCAAAATACACTTCACTTTCTTATCTAACGTTTGATGAGTTACTAAGAACTAAGTTAAGAGGAGTTTTGTAGAGTGGAGACCGATGGATTGAATGATGGTGACTAATTAAATATTCACCATCAGAATCAGCCAAAAATTAGCTAAGAACAGAAAATCCTAACTTTACGTTGGCTAGACAATCGACGAGTAATCAAGTGTCGGAGTGAAAGAGATTTTGTTTAAAAGAGACCGAAGATTCAAATCGTGATGATAGAGAGAATTTTCGCCTCCAAAATCCGCTTTGAGGAGTAATGAAATATTAACTTTAGGTGAAAAAAATGGTATTTTAAAACTTTTTGGGTGAGACGGGTCGTTAAGGCAAACCTTGGGTGGGAAAAGGTTGTTTACTCGCATGGCAATCTCAATTTAGGTAATAATTTATGTGAAGGAAAAACAAAGTATTGAGACTCCGTTTGGTTCATTATTTTAATAGTTTTTAGAATAATATTTTAAAAAAAGTTAAATTGGACGGATATTACGATGTAAGATTTGAAAATTAACAAAAATATCTCCGATGTTGTTTATTTACTAAACACCCTTATAATAAAATATTAAAAGTTAACAAAAACACCCCCAATCCACCCATTAAATACTGACAACTGGCCACCACCGCCGGAGGGTGGTCGGAATATTTTTGCAATTTCTAAAAAAAATATTTGGGAGTGTTTAATTAAATTAACAAATTTAGGAGATTTAAAAGAAATTAAAAAATATAGAATAATATTTTGAAAATAATGACATTTTACTGTTGAATTTTTTTTAGAATACTAATAATAGTATTCCCAAAAGTGAGTCAAACGAAGCCTGAATTCTTGCATTTTCAAAGCATTAACGATATGATTAAACGATTTGAACACAGTTTTGGAATGATTTGTAAGCTCATATAATACGTTAATCACTATTTATACACCAATACAATATTTACATAAAAAATGCCATCATAAGTTTGTTTGGTTTTTTTTTTTTTTTAAGCATATTCATATGAGATAGTGGAGAAAACTAAATTGAAATAAGCAAATCCAGATATGTTTACATTTCTTTCTTCAAAAGTTTCATCAATATCAATCCTTGAAACAAAACTTAATTATCACAAAAATTTCAATTTGACAACAAAGAATTCAGCTTTCAAAGGACTGACAACAAATTATACACCTAAAATTTATTATAAATTCTGTCCTAAAACAAAAGTTACATTTTTATCACTCATTAACCTTAGCAACATATTATTATTAACCTCAAACTTATCACCTCAATTAATCCTTTAAGACTTTAAAATTAATTGTCCGATAAATCTCTGATAGTCACTCCTATTAGGATGAAAAATGACTCAAATACATGACCTCTTGAGTAATATATCCAAAAGTTCCTTGTCAAACCACAGTGCAGGGTTGGTTTGGCGACATTATTAATGTTGAGGTAATTTGTGTAATTATAATATTAAGAAATAAAGGATATGATCAACGATGATAAGCAACCCATAAAAAGATCCAACGATCCATATTCATTAGAAACTCAAATTATGAGTTCTCAAACTCACCCACTAAAACTTAATAGTTAAAACCTTCCAAAATAAAGATAAAAACAAAACAACTCACTAATTTCAATTCGACAAATTATCAAGCCAAGGCAAATGCAATAAAAAACGCAGACCTTAACCCGCACCCGACGACCCGCTACTCAATTACTTCTCGGACCGATCCGACGCCAGACGAGAAGCGATCGCCGAGTGGTACATTACGTCATGGAAACTCGCACCCTCCATGGTCTTCCTCCGCAGCTGCTTCGCCTTCTCTTCCGTGAAGCACCCAGGCGAGAACCTTGATCTGACCCGACCCGAATCCAGATCCGGATTCTCAGGGTTTTTCCCCTCGTTCGTGTTGTTTATGTAATCGGGATCGGATGACCAGCCGAAGAGCGGGGCCCACCAGTTGGCAGAGGAAGAGGACGAGGAAGCAGGTCTTTTACGGGCGGGGTCTGGCTTTCTCGACTCCGACCCCGATGAAGCCCGGATTGGAGTAGACAAGGAACCCGTGAAAATGGTGGCCATAGGATTTCGTTTCTGTGAAGTGCAGAGATCAGAATTAAGGGTGAAAGCTTTTTGGGATCAAAATTTAGAGGTAATGGAATCTATTTGATGCAGCATAATACATAGTTTAATTTGCGAGTGTTCTTGTATTGGTTGTACGTTTGGGGATTTGGGTAATTTCAGTATGTGGAAGGGGTTTTTGGGGGACGAAAAGTACATAGTGTTGATGCGTGATTTATAGTGGGGGAATGCATGGGATAAAGGGAGAGATGTGGATAAGATTGAACACGTGGAAGGCATTGGAGAGCGTGTGTTGAGGGGTCTATTTTGCGCTTTTAGTTGCTTTTTTAATGTACTTTTGGGATCTTTTGTTGAATTTATTAAAAATGGTTGAGTGGAGGGCACGTGACTTGGCGGACTCGTGAAGGAATAGACCAAAGAAGTAAAATAGGGATAGAATTGTCCTGATTAGATTGGGCCTTAATCCAAAGCCGGCCCATTTACGTTGCAAACCAGCTGACGATGCCTCTGATATATGGCCTTTATGAACCCAAAAACAACGGAACTCTCTCACAGTCCAACATGAAGTGTCATTTTCTTTAGGCCCAGTTTGGTTACATTTATTTTCTATTTATCTAAATTTATTTAATATCCTTGATCGTCGAACAATTACTTATCAATAATACTATACATCTTAAATGATATCTCAAATATTTTTATACCAAGTGATGTGTAATCTTATGTAATGATGAGAGGTAAATAAATGGGTGATTTGTTGAATGATATAACAATGCCAAATAGAATAACACATCATTTAGGATATAATTTTTACAATGTCTACTATTTCTTATCGTTAACCACCACTAGGTGGTCTGATGGTTAGAGAGCAAAATGAGGATCTAACATGATCTTTCAAGTTCGAGTCCACTTAATGGTAAAAGGGCAAGAAGATGATCTAACATAGTCTCCTAAGTTCAAGTCCTTTTGAGGATAAAAGAGTAAAAAGAGGATCTAATATGATCTCCCAAATCTGAGTCCCTACAGTTGCTAATATGAGTCTTATGGTTACTAATAAGAGTGAGAATTGGAGCTCTTACTCGATTGGTAATTCCAAAATCCTAAAAGATTAGTTGAGGTGTATATAAACTGCCCTGACACTCCCAATCATTAAAAAGAAAAAAAAAAAAAAAGTATTACCCATCATTTATTCACAAACATCATTGAACTAATCCTTTTTATTTCCCATCTTATGGAAAACCTTTTCAAACCTTTTCGCTCGGTCTAGGCTTACAACCCTCAAGGTTGTTTTAGTGATACGTTCTATAGGAATTATTTTAGTGATACATTAGGAGCTGCAACAAACTCTTATGTTCCTTTGATTACAATATTTTTGAACAAGTTCCTGAAAATATAAATGACATGATACATTACTATAATATAAGACTCTTTCTCATGGATATAAGCTTATTTTGATTCATCTTGCTAATTCCTGGTATCGATGTTAGCTCAATTTTCATTTTTTTCTTAACCTAATCAAATGAATTACAAGAAGAGAATGAATGCTCTGTTAACAAGAAACTAATTGCTGCTAAATCATTTGAAAGTCTCTTTACAAGGGTAAAAATGGTTGGTTTTAATCCTATATGAAACCTAATGGTTAATCTAATCCGTATCTGAACCCTGCTGATCTGCTCCTTACATGTCTTTAAGTCCGCTACATTTGATGAGCTCTCCCTTTTTCTGACTATTCTACTGCTTTTACAATGGCATCCTTCACAGTTCGAACATTTTTCTTGGAACTAAATAAACTAACAGTATTGTTACTTCAGCTTTTTCCATATCTTCCATCTATTATCTATCTCTTACTGTATTCGGGAGAACTGGAAGTATCCGCTGGATAAACCTGCACAAACACATTGTACAAAGGTCAATAAGTATGTATAAACAGAAGTGTACAGATAGAAATCAAAAGAGAAGCCACACATATCTTACTTGACTCTGTCTATCTTCATTGAAGCTTACGCTTCTGACCTTCAACTCCCCTCTGCTAGTTGTTAGCTCATCTAATATCTCGGCATCACACAATTCTACTTCGCCTTCCTCCGTTTCAGGATGAGACCTTTCCTTTTCCTGGTTAAAACAGGTCATATCTCATTTTAGCATTGCAAGTTCATATATAAAATTTTAAGGTTTTATAATGAAGAAAAATAACATTGCGTACCCTGAAAGAGAAGCTGAGAGAACGTCTTGGAGTGCCAGTGACTTCATCATATTCAGCTGCATCCAGTTCCCGCAAATGATGTGGGGGAAACAACTTGGGAAGGAGATGTTGGCGAATGCTGATGAGAAGGAAGAATGGCAAGGGGAACAAGATTCCAGCTATAGGAATCCATGTCACACCAAAACAGACCAGGAAGTATCCAAACTGGAAGAGAGTAAATATGATAATGTATTTGTATGGAACTGATTCCACAAACGACGCATGAGCCGACTCCAGGATCCTGCAGAGAAAGAACCAAAGCCGCAGGAGAAACAAGACAATCGTAAGCAACTAATTTGTGTTTCATAGTGCCAAAACGAGTTGAATTGTGTGTTCTCAGATTGAATGCTCAAAAATAAGGAATACTCACTTGTACTGCCGGCTAGGTGTAATGAATAGTAGTAGCATCCTTTCCCAGAATTGGTTCCCTGGGAGACTGTCGATGGACATGTAAGCAAAATAACCCCAAAGAACTGATGTAGGAATTTGCTTGATGGCAGGCATGGCGCACACTGCTGCCACCACTAAGAGAGACTGCAACAGATTGGTCACTCTCTGCTCATTAACTCGAACAGGCAAGTAAGCATCAATGTGCTTCTCGGGATCAAATTTTTCCTTTTTGTTCTCTCCTTCCAATTCACCTTTCATAACCGCCTCCTTCAAGTCCTGCAGTTCCTTAACTACTGCAGTCTGCAGCAAAACATAGAGGCATCATAAAGGGCTTAATATAATAGGCCAAAAATGTTAAATGTGGGGAATGGATATACATTTCAAGCAGCACTTTTTACTAGAGGACTTACCACGTGACTGCTGTCCATTTCAATGAACACAGCTTGCATTTTGCCATAAATTTCAGAATTGCTAGCTTTCTGCTTTATGCTTTCCTTGGCACTCTCGACCATCTTCCTTCGCATGAACTTTACATAATAGATTAATTTCAGTAAGTTTCTGGTTCTGCATAGTGCCAATAATTTATGACAATTTTCGACATTCTGCAAAACCAACCTGTCTTTTGAGAACCGCGAGGCTCTTGGTGTGCATAGGAGATTGCGGGAGGACCCCATTTGAAGGCGGCAGCCCAATCAATCCACAAAGCAATGTCTGAAGAAATTTATTCGATAGAAGAACTGAAGTGTCAATAAAACAAAATGAGAAAAATGAACATCAAATGTATATGTTAGTGATGTATACCATAAAGCCCAGCAACAAGATGTCATAGTGGTATGCAGACGGTTTTTTAAGATTGAACTCCTTTTGTTGTGCCATTTGCGATGAAACACTATGGTCAAAAAGGTAAAGCCCAGCAATCATCACAGCAGGAATAAAGGCCGCAAAAATGTAAGCCAGAGGGACTTTCCCCATATCCTGCAGTTTGAGTATGTATAAGCATAAATCTTTCAATTTTACATATGGTAAATCACAGGAATGTGACATACTTTGATCACAGTCCAGTGGTCCAACGATGCAGATTCCCGTGGGAGAGGACTAAAAAGCCTTCTGGGTACTCCAGATGGAACCTTGCTTGGTACAGTGAATGACAACGCTGTCCACACTACAACCATTAAAGGAACCCCATAGTCTGCAATGAAACTTCTGAGCCACCCTATGTAACACAGTAAAGTCTCAGATTCTGGATTTTAACTATTCTGCTAATAAAATTATTCACGGTATTTCAGATTTGCTTCACAAACCTGTGCCATACCACCATGACCTTGCTTTTCGGCTCTTTAAAGCAGTATACAGGAGACCAAAAGTGAATATGATCCCCAGTAATCCATTTGCATAGAGCCACTGGAATTGATACTTCTCCAAATTGGGGTCTTGATCCTCAGGAATTTTAAATTCACTCACCATACCCTGTGATTTAGACATTGTCCAATAATAAACATTACATTAATCTCAAAGATCATTTACTAAAATCGATTAGTCAGGTTTTCTTCATAATAGTTACCTTGATAGCCTCTTGCATGAATAGAACCGCAATCAACATGCCAAAAAGTTCGCCTGCAATCCTTGTAAATCTATTAATAAGATCACAAGCATTGAATATTGCCAGAACAAACAGCATGAGAGCTGTCCATACACAGACCCTGTTAAATTTGTACGATACTCAAGGTTAATATAATGCATGACATTCTTAACTATATCGGTATTTAAGGTTTCATTAAATTACCATCCAACCCAAGCCAGATATAGTTTCTGTCCCAAATCTTCCCTTCCCTTCGCAAAGTTGTACAAATAAGTGTACATTATAACTGTTGGTTCTGCAACTCCTAGTATCAAAAGGGGTTGCCCTCCAAATATGGAATGTATAATACCACAAAGAGCAGTAGAAGCTAAAGTCTCCACCGTGCTCAAGCTTCCATCTACGAAAGACAACACTTTCAAAATCATCGCGGATACTAACAAACGCATAAGAAAGCAAAAGTGGTAACAATTATTTTAATTGTGTTCCACTTCAGTGCCAAGAATGTGAAGGAAAACCTGTATCTCTACTTAGTTGCTCGCCAAAAGCAATGACAGGAAGAGCAGATGCAAAGAAAATGTAAGTTGTTGGGGCCAATATCCTATCATAAATATGGGCAAAAACATTAATTGATCGGACTTCAGCGATAATAAATTTGTTTGTATGAAATTTTTATCAATATTGTGTGACAAAGACATTAAAATTACCCGAGTCCTGCACGAATACCACCAATCCAATCTTGCTTGTAACAAGCAGCCCTTCCCCTAAAATCATTGGCGATTCCCCTGAATGGAGCTTTGATGTTCTCCATTTCTGATAGAAGAAAGAGTACAATTAGACCAAGATGGATACAGTAAATAACGTTTGCACAAGAAAAGAAAAAACTTGCAATTAGAGAAACAAACAAGTACTAAACACATTAGAAATGGGAGAAAAAAATCAAATCAGAGCAGGGACTTCAAACAGAACATCCATTTTTAGATACATTAAAACAAAGTTATAAAATACAAGGGAAAGAGTGAAGATACGTATTACACCTTTTACTTTCAAGATCTCAAATCAATGACCAGTTTTTC